TATTATTGTCAATCTTTTTCATGGCAACGTAATTTCTGCAATTTCTTTCTTATAATTCTCAGTCACAGTTTTTTCGATTTTTTTTTGTCACACGTAACAGAAATACAAGAAGGAACCATTGTTATTGATTCTACTTTAATACTTTTTTTTCATCTCTTTTATATTCTCTCCTATACATTTACTTCTGTGCTCTCTCTCTCTCTGCGCAACGTTTGTTGCGTCTTCGTCATCATGCGAGAGGTCGACCGTTCATTCATTCACCTATTCGGGCTAGCGTTCATTCATTCATTCATTCATTTAACACTTTTGTGCCACGCGGAGATACGGATCTTCTGTCGCAGCGCTATGCGTCTGGGAACCTCTTTAACTGTTTTGTATAACAAGATTAGTCTGAATACGCGTATTTCAGTCTCTCGCGCCGACACCGACGAACGATAGAACTTAAATAACTTTTTAATTCTTTTTATTTATTTATTATAAAAATATGTAATTCTAGGATCTTAGATAGCATCTTAAATAAATAAATAATTTGTTAATTTATCTTTGTGAATTTGCTTAAATATTAATATGCATAAAACAAAAGTGTCGGAATCAATTCTATTACTATACATATGTATATTCACATATTTATATATATATATATATATATGTGCGCGTGCGTGTGCGTGTGCGTGTGCGTGTGCGTGAGTGTGTGCGTGTGCGTGAGCGTATGCGTGTGCGTGTGTGTATGTATTTTATATATTTAATATTACATATGTTTAATAAATAATAAATATAATATGATTTATTAATTAATTTCAGATAAAACTAATTTAAAATTAAAAAATAAAACCTCTGTAATATCCATTTCAGAATCAAAAAAAGCTATAACTAATCCATCAACGAGTCAATCTGCAGAAAGGTAAATATTATTTATGAATAGTATTTATTTTTTATTTTTTACAAAAAATCAATACAATATTTCATAATATTGTAAAGTTTTATATTTATACTTAATATATATTAATAAGATTTTATAATCTTTTTAGTATATCGGCAAACGTACAAGAAGTTACAATACTTAATAAAAACAATGAGTGGGAGACTATTAATTTTGCATCCGACGAAATGTTGGAGACTATTCAAATTGAAGATTCAACCGTGTAAATTTTGATATTCTTAATTTTATGTATTTTTAATGACAAAATAAAAATTAAATTTATTCTTATATAATAAAAAACAAACTATTTTAGCGAAGCTATTGGATTCGTCGACGAAATTGACGGTCCTAAAATTGTTGGAAAAGTACAACATTATGCTTTATTAAAATTTTTTTTGAATAATAATAGTCGCCACAGGATACAAATGATGGCTTGGAATGAGGAAGCAGAGAGAGTAAAGCATCATTTACAACCTAACAGAGTAATATTTTACACTTTATTTAATTTATTATATATATTATTTATAAGTTATTATTAATTATTTATACATTAATAGTAGTATGTATAGGCGGGTTCTAACCCAGGAGCTCCGAGGGGGGAGCGGGCGGGGGGGATTTGCNCGGGGGGAATGACGTCACAGGGGTAACCGCCGAGATGTTTACGTAAACATGGGCCATGTATGTTTACGTAAACAATGATAA